TATATAGGCAAGACAACAACATCTCTTTCTAGGCGTTTAACGATGCATAAACAACAGGGCTCCATTAAGGAACATATAATCTCTTCCCATAACCAAACCATCGCCAGAGAAATCCTAGTAAACAACACAGAAATCATCGATAGATACAGCGATAGCAGGCGGCTTGACGTTTGCGAGGCACTACACATCAAGAAGTCAACACCAGCAATCAACAGCCAATTATTGCACAACTATATTCTACCCACCTCAAGACTCCGCTCCAATATAGAAGCATCAAGAAATATGGACCAATAGGCTTTCTACAAACACTTCTATTCAATACCCATTGTTTCTGTTCTGTCTTGTGTTGATACTTTTAATACCCTATTAATATCCCCTAGTGTTCTGTCTTGTGTTAATGCCACATCACCCTTCCCACCTCACTCAAATGTAATGCCACATCACCCTTCCCACCTCACTCAAATGTAGATATAAAATCAGGGAAACGCAAGTTCTAATCAGTTGTGTATTTGTGAAGTCTTTGAAAATGTAATAAGTTTTACGAAACGCGCCCGTGTCGCGTCAGACTAGAAATAAAAATGAATTTTGGAGAAGTGATTTTTGATTTACCTCCAACAGTGAAGCGTAATGTACGAAAGATTGAGAAAATTCGTGTTAGAATTATTAATCTTACTTTTTCGGTCATATTTAATAATATATATATATATATATATATATATATATATATATATATATATATATATATACACACACACACACACACACACACACACACACACACAACAGGCTGCAGAGATGGTCAGGGAAATGGCTACTGGAGTTTAACACCAGTAAATGTAAAGTTATGGAAATGGGATCAGGTGACAGGAGACCAAAGGGACAGTACACAATGAAGGGGAACAGCCTACCTGTAACGATTCGAGAAAGAGAGCTGGGAGTGGATGTGACACCTAATCTAACTCCTGAGGCACATATAAATAGGATAACGACAGCAGCGTACTCTACACTGGCGAAAATTAGATCTTCATTCAGAAACCTAAATGAGGAAGCTTTTAGGGCGCTTTACACTGCCTACGTGAGACCCGTCTTAGAGTATGCCGCGCCATCATGGAGCCCCCACCTGAAGAAACACATAAAGAAACTGGAGAAGGTTCAGAGGTTTGCGACGAGGCTTGTCCCAGAGCTACGAGGGATGGGATATGAAGAGCGGCTGAAGGAACTGAACCTTACGACACTAGAGAAAAGAAGGGAGAGAGGAGATATGATAGGGACATATAAAATACTCAGGGGAATTGACAAAGTGGAAATAGATGAAATGTTCACACGTAATAATAACAGAACGAGGGGACATGGGTGGAAACTGGAAACTCAGATGAGTCACAGAGATGTTAGGAATTTTTCTTTTAGCGTGAGAGTAGTAGAAAAATGGAATGCACTTGGGGAACAGGTTGTGGAAGCAAATACTATTCATACTTTTAAAACTAGGTATGATAGGGAAATGGGACAGGAGTCATTGCTGTAAACAACCGATAGCTAGAAAGGCGGGATCCAAGAGTCAATGCTCGATCCTGCAAGCACATATAGGTGAGTACATATAGGTGAGTACACACACACACACACACACACACACACACACACACACACACACACACACTTCCTAATGCATTGGAATTGGAATGCATTAGGAAGTGATGTGGTGGAGGCTGACTCCATACACAGTTTCAAGTGTAGATATGATAGAGCCCAGTAGGCTCAGGAATCTGTACACCAGTTGATTGACAGATGAGAGGCGGGACCAAACAGCCAAAGCTCAACCCCCGCAAGCACAAATAGGTAAGTACAATTAGGTAAGCGCGCACACACATACACACACTCATGTGGGGCGTCGGTGGCTGTGTGGATAGCACGTTGTGCACGTAATTCTGTGGCCCGGTTTCGATTCCCGGCGCCGGCGAGAAACAATGGGCTAAGTTTCTTTCACCCTGATGCCCTTGTTACCTAGCAGTAAATAGGTACCTGGGAGTTAGACAGCTGTTACGGGCTGCTTTCTGTGTGTGTGTGGGGGGGGAATTAGTTAGTTAGTAGTTAGTAAGAGAAACAGTTGATTGACAGTTGAGAGGCGGGACCGAAAGAACAGAGCTCAACCCCCGCAAACACAACTAGGTGAACACAACTAGGTGAGTACACACACACACATTCCTCCCAGCGTGGCCCGGGTCTCTCAGTCTCTCTTACTTAGAACATAAAATATTTAAATATCCCCCCCCCCCTCGTCCTCCCGCCGCCCCTCATCTCTTTCATAAAATATATCATGGCAAAATGAAATTAATTTATGTGTTTAAAAAATAATTTTTGATGAAAAAAAAGACGTAGGACATCTGAACGAATATTTCCCACTTGACCAGAACTGAATCAGTGAGAATCACGTGTGAATAATTAATATTTCTTGAATCAGTGAGTCAGCTCGGGGTAGGATGTGTACTGTAAACAAAAAATGTGATCTTAAAAATCTAAATAATCTTAAAAAAATGTATTTTTTAAGTTTTTGAAAATATTTTGGTGCTTAACTGGCGGGCAGTGCCAAGAGTGGTGGTGGGGCCTGGCACGCTGTTTCCCTTTGTATTCTGGCGACCCCGACCAGCCTATGTTCATCCCATACCCCAGACCATTCCTTGTGCCTATTTGGGTGAGGCTGGCCCCAAGTGTTTGGTTCGCGATTTTTATAGCGAGTAGTTTGAAATATTTGGTGTGAATCCCCTAAATTCTTTGTGATGCTAATAATATTTTCTGTGTGGCCAACACAGTTGTTTCGATGTTTCGTAATAATAATTTTTTCGAGAGAGGGGAAGCAAGGGATGAGGACGAGGGGGTCGAGGGGAAAATGTATCACTTAAACTCAATGACCCCTCAGGATTCGAACCCAGGCTACCGCGGGTCTCCCCCGTCAACGGCGCTGGTACACTGGCTACTGCACCAGTGATCGCCATAAGTATTGGTGGGTCATGACACTTACATACACAAGTTCCATGACCAACCAACACCCGGCGACACTCGTGGTTCGAATCCCAGTTATTTCATCAAGTTTCTGAACACGCAGGGGTCGCCCTGAGTATATTCGTGAGCAATGAGTAATTGGGTCCTGAGTAATTGGTCCTCCAACACGGGTTATGTAGCACAGAATGTATATATTTATTTATGTAGGTTAGATTGGCTTTTTAAAAGCACAACAATGATCTTCTGCGGTTGATTGTTCCATAAATCGCTGAACTGTATGTTTACCAGATCTCTAACTCTGTCCATGGAGGCGAGAAGTGTTGGGATCGAACTGTCGACAACCCAACACATTTACTTTAGGTTTATTCTGAGTGTTTATCCTATGTTTCGTTGTACTATAACGGGGTACATTAATGTGATCAGGTGTCAGCCTCAGCCGGACCTATAGTCAGGTGCGACACACTTTGTGCTGAGGTCTGACAAAGGACAAGAAAATAAGATTGTATAAAAACTTCATCATGGATATATTCGGATATATCTCTAACCACCTTATATACAATGTATATATATTAAGGCATTGTACACAAGTACAGATTATATATATATATATATATATATATATATATATATATATATATATATATATATATATATATATATATATAGATATATATATATATATATATAGAGAGAGAGAGAGCCACTGCGACCATGAAATGGTCGTCTCTTGTCCGATGGTTCTTCCCACTTATAGATCATCCACTTTCCCGTATTTAGGACCACTTCGGAAACTGTGTGTTATCTCAACGCCTCTAACTATCAATGACGGTGCCTTCCACGAGCTCAGAGACGTCTACCATGCCGCTAGGTCCTCACGTCCGTTTCCTTTGGTGAGGGTGGAGCACACTAACAGTTGGGTCAGTTGGTCAAACATCCAAACGCGACGACAGCCTGTTGACTCAATGGAGGAGAGTAGATGTCTGTCTCTCCACATGCTCCGGCCAGCACACGTTACCTCGCCCGGTGGTTCTGATTGGCTAACAGAAATTCCCGCCACCGGACGAGCCATACCGTGCTGACCGTTAACGACCTCCATGGTTGTTAACCTCGTTCTTCCTGTAATAATGAACGTATGACTTAAATAATCGTGCCTTTATGCGATGAAATAACACGATACGATATATCGTAACAGAAGGAAATGTATACAATGACCAACTGAGCCACAAACATTAGAATGATATTTCTTAGTGTCAGTGTAAACAAACAGAATGCACAAGGCAGTGATGTGGCGGAGACAGGGGCTCTGCACAGTTTAAAATGTAGATACGACAGCCCAGTAGGCTCAGGAACCTAAACATCTGATTGACGGTTGAGAGGCGGGACCAAAGAGCCGAAGCTCAACCCCCGCAAGCATAAATAAGTGAGTACTAGTACCTTAGCTACGGAGCCCCTCGCTATCAACACACTGAACTTGACTCTCAAAAAACAAATATCATCTCCGTTCACACGGTGAGCGGGATGCTGTGAGAGTAGTGATGCTGTGAGAGTAGTGATGCTGTGAGAGTAGTGATGCTGTAAGTGAGAGTAGTGATGCTGTAAGTGAGAGTAGTGATGCTGTAAGTGAGAGTAGTGATGCTGTAAGTGAGAGTAGTAATGCTGTAAGTGAGAGTAGTGATGCTGTAAGTGAGAGTAGTGATGCTGTAAGTGAGAGTAGTAATGCTGTAAGTGAGAGTAGTAATGCTGTAAGTGAGAGCACACTTCCGGTAGTTGCCGTGTCGATCTGCCTCATAAAGAACATAAATCCATGCTGTAGACCCCCTCACACCTCAGAGCACCTCACACCTCAGAGCACCTCACAAGTCATTGCACCCGCGGTCTTTTCCGCTCCAGAATATCAATGCTGTCTTTTGTTTTGATCTTGCAATACACGATATCATATCATCGGCGGAGTTCTTCTTTATTGAGCAGTAAAGCATTAACATGAAAGTTATAGTTATATGGCAACTTTAACTGTTGTTAACAATAATAAATTTGTTGCGTAGTTTGGTCTTAAAATATGATGAGCACTGAGCAATGTTTGTCTGAGGAGTTCGTGCAAGAATATCATGTTTGTAACCCTGGCTCCCATCCAAGCCTCGTGTAAGTCCAGCCACACTGTGTGTAAGACCAGCCACACTGAGTGTAAGACCAGCCACACTGAGTGTAAGACCAGGCACACTGAGTGTAAGACCAGCCACACTGAGTGTAAGACCAGCCACACTGAGTGTAAGACCAGCCACACTGAGTGTAAGACCAGGCACACTGAGTGTAAGACCAGCCACACTGAGTGTAAGACCAGCCACACTGAGTGTAAGACCAGCCACACTGAGTGTAAGACCAGGCACACTGAGTGTAAGACCAGCCACACTGAGTGTAAGACCAGCCACACTGAGTGTAAGACCAGCCACACTGAGTGTAAGACCAGGCACACTGAGTGTAAGACCAGCCACACTGAGTGTAAGACCAGCCACACTGAGTGTAAGACCAGGGACACTGAGTGTAAGACCAGGGACACTGAGTGTAAGACCAGGGACACTGAGTGTAAGACCAGCCACACTGAGTGTAAGACCAGCCACACTGAGTGTAAGACCAGCCACACTGAGTGGAAGACCAGCCACACTGAGTGTAAGACCAGCTACACTGAGTGTAAGACCAGGGACACTGAGTGTAAGACCAGGGACACTGAGTGTAAGACCAGCCACACTGAGTGTAAGACCAGCTACACTGAGTGTAAGACCAGGGACACTGAGTGTAAGACCAGGGACACTGAGTGTAAGACCAGCCACACTGAGTGTAACACTGAGCTTTTCTTTATTTTCTACCACAGACGTGGCCACACATTTACATTGCTAACCAGCGTAAATACATTTCCTTCTGTCCTCCATGGACAGGGTGAGAGATGTGTTAACCATATAGTTCAGGGATTTATTAACCAATCAACCACAGAAGGTGATTGAAGTGCTTAAAAATGCTAATATAACCTACATACATAAATATATACATATACGTCTGTCCTACATAAACAGTGCTTGAGATGTGTGTTCTTTTTTACATAATGTGATTGATGTGTGTTTACAAAGGTGAAATACAATTCTGACTAGCTTACACGTATATATATATATATATATATATATATATATATATATATATATATATATATATATATATATATATATATATATATATATATATATATATATAAACTCTCCTACTTTGACAAGGTTAGAGCTGCTATAGAAACTAGTGTTATTTAGCACTTAACCACTGAATGTGATTAAGATGCTTTTACAAGCCTAGGTTATAATTACATCACATACATTGTATTATTGATGTATTACATAGTCACTCTTGGGGTACAAGTCCAATATATCATCAAGTATTCCAGTACTCATATAGTAGTTACAGAGTTCAGCATACCTCAGCCCAGGAGGGCGAAAGTCAGTCAATATGGGACATTCTACAATTTAATGTTCAAGGGAGTGCATGTTTTCTCTTTCACAAAGTTGACACATTGTGTATTGGACACTTTCACAAAATTGACACATTGTGTACTCGACATTTGGGTTTTGAGAAAGCGGCCAGATACGTCTATATCCCAGGCGTATTCTGGCCACTATAACATCACATTGCCGGGTTCTTGTTCTATTAGTCCCATATGTGAATGTCTCCTCACGATATCTATCATAATATTTAATGCTACAACTTTCAGGTCTTTGTGAATTTGTTAGGTCTGTGAGATCTTCATTAGATATTTGTTTAAGTATTCTCTTTGTCACTGCTAATGAAACAAACATATTCATGTCTACTCCTGGTCTACTACAGGCTGTCTTTGCAAGCATGTCAACAGAGTCATTTTTTGAGATGCCAACATGTGATGGTATCAAAAGGAATTTAATTTCAAATCTGTTTTCTTTAGTAGCTAAAACATTCATTCGAATATCACTGACTATTTTCTGGGTGTTACTACTGTGGCTGAAAGGTTTATTTTGTCCTGAAGCGCAGTAGTCTGCGTAGTGGGTTCTTAACCTCATGGTCCCTGGTTCGATTCCCGAGCAAGGAAAGTTTCTATAGCATGTTTCCAAGTGTATCTCACCGAAGTATATTACTGAGAACTGAGGTCAGGAATTTGAGTCTGGAAACATGTCATTTTTTTTCACACTGGACTTGTAAGTCCAGCGCCAAAGTCACCCAGACCTGTAAGAGCAGCACCAGAGCCTCCCAGACCTGTAAGACCAACACGGGAGCCTCCCAGACCTGTAAGACCAACACGGGAGCCTCCCAGACCTGTAAGACCAACACGGGAGCCTCCCAGACCTGTAAGACCAACACGGGAGCCTCCCAGACCTGTAAGACCAACACGGGAGCCTCCCAGACCTGTAAGACCAACACCGGGAGCCTCCCAGACCTGTAAGACCAACACGGGAGCCTCCCAGACCTGTAAGACCAACACGGGAGCCTCCCAGACCTGTAAGACCAACACGGGAGCCTCCCAGACCTGTAAGACCAACACGGGAGCCTCCCAGACCTGTAAGACCAACACAGGAGCCTCCCAGACCTGTAAGACCAACACGGGAGCCTCCCAGACCTGTAAGACCAACACGGGAGCCTCCCAGACCTGTAAGACCAACACGGGAGCCTCCCAGACCTGTAAGACCAACACAGGAGCCTCCCAGACCTGTAAGACCAACACCGGAGCCTCCCAGATCTGTATGACCAACACCGGAGCCTCCCAGACCTGTAAGACCAACACGAGAGCCTCCCAGACCTGTAAGACCAACACGGGAGCCTCCCAGACCTGTAAGACCAATACGGGAGCCTCCCAGACCTGTAAGACCAACACCGGAGCCTCCCAGACCTGTAAGACCAACACAGGAGCCTCCCAGACCTGTAAGACCATCGCGGGAGCCTCCCAGACCTGTAAGACCAGCGTCGCAGGCTGCCAACATAACTCAAAGGAAGTGCCAACTTCAGGGGAGCGAAACTATCGGGAGTGCCAACCACTGTGAGAGGAAGTGCCAGCAGGCTGACCAACCTTGCCGGGGGTGATAAACAACCAGTTGAGAGGCGGACCACGTCGCCTCTCTCGCGCCCCCACAGAAGGTCCAGGAATGTTTTGTTATGTTTATTTCGTGAGCTGGTTGGTCCCACGCGGGGGCCGGCCACCACTACTCTTACACCTGTCTACTACCCTCAACTGTCAGTACGTCACAACGTGACTATTGACCACTATCACTACAGCAGGCCAGGCAGGGTGTGTAGAGCAGGCCAGGCAGGGTGTCTAGAGCAGGCCAGGCAGTGTGTGTGTAGAGCAGGCCAGGCAGGGTGTCTAGAGCATGCCAGGCAGCGTGTGTCTAGAGCAGGCCAGGCAGGGGTGTCTAGAGCAGGCCAAGCAGGGGTGTCTAGAGCAGGCCAGGAAGGGTGTGTAGAGCAGGCCAGGCAGGGGTGTCTAGAGCATTCCAAGCAGGGGTGTCTAGAGCAGGCCAGGCAGTGTGTGTCTAGAGCACGCCAGGCAGTGTGTCTAGAGCAGGCCAAGCAGGGTGTCTAGAACAGGCCAGGCAGGGTGTCTAGAGCAGGCCAGGCAGTGTGTCTAGAGCAGGCCAAGCAGGGTGTCTAGAGCAGGCCAGGCAGGGTGTCTAGAGCAGGCCAGGCAGGGTGTCTAGAGCAGGCCAGGCAGTGTGTCTAGAGCAGGCCAGGCAGGGTGTCTAGAGCAGGCCAGGCAGTGTGTCTAGAGCAGGCCAGGCAGTGTGTCTAGAGCAGGCCAGGCAGTGTGTCTAGAGCAGGCCAGGCAGTGTGTCTAGAGCAGGCCAGGCAGGGTGTCTAGAGCAGGCCAGGCAGTGTGTCTAGAGCAGGCCAGGCAGTGTGTCTAGAGCAGGCCAGGCAGTGTGTCTAGAGCAGGCCAGGCAGTGTGTCTAGAGCAGGCCAGGCAGGGTGTCTAGAGCAGGCCAGGCAGTGTGTCTAGAGCAGGCCAGGCAGTGTGTCTAGAGCAGGCCAGGCAGGGTGTCTAGAGCAGGCCAGGCAGGGTGTCTAGAGCAGGCCAGGCAGGGTGTCTAGAGCAGGCCAGGCAGGGTGTCTAGAGCAGGCCAGGCAGGGTGTCTAGAGCAGGCCAGGCAGGGTGTCTAGAGCAGGCCAGGCAGGGTGTCTAGAGCAGGCCAGGCAGGGTGTCTAGAGCAGGCCAGGCAGGGTGTCTAGAGCAGGCCAGGCAGGGTGTCTAGAGCAGGCCAGGCAGTGTGTCTAGAGCAGGCCAGGCAGGGTGTCTAGAGCAGGCCAGGCAGTGTGTGTAGAGCAGGCCAGGCAGTGTGTCTAGAGCAGGCCAGGCAGTGTGTCTAGAGCAGGCCAGGCAGGGTGTCTAGAGCAGGCCAGGCAGTGTGTCTAGAGCAGGCCAGGCAGGGTGTCTAGAGCAGGCCAGGCAGGGTGTCTAGAGCAGGCCAGGCAGGGTGTCTAGAGCAGGCCAGGCAGGGTGTCTAGAGCAGGCCAGGCAGGGTGTCTAGAGCAGGCCAGGCAGGGTGTCTAGAGCAGGCCAGGCAGGGTGTCTAGAGCAGGCCAGGCAGTGTGTCTAGAGCAGGCCAGGCAGTGTGTCTAGAGCAGGCCAGGCAGTGTGTCTAGAGCAGGCCAGGCAGGGTGTCTAGAGCAGGCCAGGCATTGTGTCTAGAGCAGGCCAGGCAGGGTGTCTAGAGCAGGCCAGGCAGGGTGTCTAGAGCAGGCCAGGCAGGGTGTCTAGAGCAGGCCAGGCAGGGTGTCTAGAGCAGGCCAGGCAGGGTGTCTAGAGCAGGCCAGGCAGGGTGTCTAGAGCAGGCCAGGCAGGGTGTCTAGAGCAGGCCAGGCAGGGTGTCTAGAGCAGGCCAGGCAGGGTGTCTAGAGCAGGCCAGGCAGGGTGTCTAGAGCAGGCCAGGCAGGGTGTCTAGAGCAGGCCAGGCAGGGTGTCTAGAGCAGGCCAGGCAGGGTGTCTAGAGCAGGCCAGGCAGGGTGTCTAGAGCAGGCCAGGCAGGGTGTCTAGAGCAGGCCAGGCAGGGTGTCTAGAGCAGGCCAGGCAGGGTGTCTAGAGCAGGCCAGGCAGGGTGTCTAGAGCAGGCCAGGCAGGGTGTCTAGAGCAGGCCAGGCAGGGTGTCTAGAGCAGGCCAGGCAGGGTGTCTAGAGCAGGCCAGGCAGGGTGTCTAGAGCAGGCCAGGCAGGGTGTCTAGAGCAGGCCAGGCAGGGTGTGTAGAGCAGGCCAGGCAGGGTGTCTAGAGCAGGCCAGGCAGGGTGTGTAGAGCAGGCCAGGCAGGGTGTCTAGAGCAGGCCAGGCAGGGTGTCTAGAGCAGGCCAGGCAGGGTGTGTAGAGCAGGCCAGGCAGGGTGTCTAGAGCAGGCCAGGCAGGGTGTGTAGAGCAGGCCAGGCAGTGTGTCTAGAGCAGGCCAGGCAGGGTGTCTAGAGCAGGCCAGGCAGGGTGTCTAGAGCAGGCCAGGCAGGGGTGTCTAGAGCAGGCCAGGCAGGGTGTCTAGAGCAGGCCAGGCCCCTGCCAATATTGTGGCAGCAAACCCAACATATTCCACCAGGAAGTGTTCACTAATCCAATTTCCTCTCACCAAAATTGTTATTACATCAATATATTAATTGCTGTGTTAGCGATCATATGGCTTTTAACAGTGGCCGTTGTTTCACAGTATCTCCAGCAACGGTGACCGTTGTTTCATAGTATCTCCAGCAACGGTGACCGTTGTTTCATAGTATCTCCAGCAACGGTGACCGTTGTTTCATAGTATCTCCAACAACAGTGGCCGTTGTTTCACAGTGCGCTCAAGAAAGATAGTGTGCACTCTACATTATTAAAACAGTTAATACTGAAAAGCATCACTGAAAGTACTCAGAGTATGGGTAACGATGTTTATCAGTGCTATACCGACGGCTCTGTAGAAGAAGGTGGACGATGTACCGGATGTTCATGTAACATATTTGAACAATCTTCTCTCGTACATACAGCAATGAAGCGTGTCAATGACTGGGCAAGTACAACTCAAACCGAACTTGCAGGCATATACCTTGCCACTGAATTTTTAAAAGACAAAGGCAGTGGACTTATATACTGTGACTCGCAGAGTGTACTCCTGGCATTGAACGCACATAGTACTGACACCCAGAAAATAGTCAGTGATATTCGAATGAATGTTTTAGCTGCTAAAGAAAACAGATTTGAAATTAAATTCCTATGGATACCATCACATGTTGGCATCTCAAGGCATGACACTGTTGATATGCTTGCAAAGACAGCCTGCAGAAAACCAGTGGTAGAAATTGATATGGGTGTTTCATTAGCAGTGACAAAGAGAATACTTAGACAAATATCTAATGAAGATCTCACAGACCTAACAAATTCACAAAGACCTGAAAGTTGTAGCATTAAATATTATGATAGATATCGTGAGGAGACATTCACATATGGGACTAATAGAACAAGAACCCGGCAATGTGATGTTATAGTGGCCAGAATACGCCTGGGATATAGACGTATCTGGCAGCTTTCTCAAAACCCAAATGTCGAGTACACAATGTGTCAACTTTGTGAAAGAGAAAACATGCAGTCTCTTGAACATTTTATATTGTAGAATGTCCCATACTGACTGACTTTCGCCCTCCTGGGCTAAGGTATGCTGAACTGTGTAATTACTATATGAGTACTGGAACACTTGATGATATATTGGACTTGTACCCAAGATTGACCATGTAATGTATCAATTATACAATGTATATATATTATGTAACTATATAACCCTGTCAGAGTAAGTGACAAATGTATGTGAATGCATATGTGTGTGTATATATGTATGTATACATGTATGTATATATGTATGTGCACATATATGTGTGTGAGTGTGTTTGTATATGTATGTGTATAAAGTATATATGAAAGCTGATCAGAATTACATTTCACCTTTGTAAATGCACATTAATGACACTATGTAAAAGACACATCGAACACTTTATGTAGGGCATACGTAAATCTGTGTTTCTATGTATTTACGTATGTAGGTTAGTGTTATAATAAATATGGTGGGCTTGCTATGGGGAAACTAGTGCTATTCAGGGGTAAGGTCAGTCAGAATAAAGATGTATCTATTTGGGGAGATCAGTAAGGCCCGGCCCCCATGGAAACTAGAAGTAGTGCTGACTACTTGGCTACACAACAAGGTCAGTCTAGGGAATGATCAAGATCTCCTACACAGGAAGAACGATACTCTTATAATTCATGTACTTATTTATTAACCCCTTAACAGCCCCCCATACCTTCACACCAATAACAATAATAATAATAACTTTACCACACTACCTTACGTTAAAAGCCTTGGTCCACATACGCAGGATACAAGGTTTTACACTGAACACAAGCTAGGGTAAAGCTCTACTATTGAATTACTTGAAGTTAGAGTCAGCTTAGGGTAGGGGGACCACGTGGTTCCAATGGGACCCCCTTTAGAATAACTAGTAATATAAACTCTAAAAACACCTACTACACACAAAGTATACTACTTTACACATAGAACATGAGTATGCCAGATATTGAATAATGTACTCAGTATATACTTATCTTGAGACAGACACAGAAATAAGGAAACGAAGAGGAAGGAGGAGGTTCCTTTCACCACAGCCAGCAACCAGAGAAGAACGCTCCCAGCGAGCAGCTCAGGGCTCCCGCATGTGGTGGTGCCGGGAAGAGCCTAATTGATCGTGCAGCTAAGCACATTAAAAATCTTCCCCTATGCAACGTATTGTTACTTTTCAAATGATTAGAGTATTATTAAACATAGTTGGTGCCTATGTTATTATTTAATAATCAACCCCAAGCTCAGTCTTTAAATGCTCTTTGAGAAACAAGAATAGTCTTACGTCTGGCAGGGAAGATACAAACAAAGACACATCGAGTTGCGTTTTGCTACTCTAAAGTAGCTTATTTAGTTCAATTTTGACCTCTGGT